ATTGTGTTCAACGATGAAGTACTGTATCAGTGGTGCAAACACTCATAGCCCACACTCTCTATACAAACATATACATCGCGATCACACATGCATTCACATCCCTTTCCCCTCTCTCTCTCTTTCTCATATATTAAATATCTAAAGTGGTTGTCGTGGCGACCATTATATATGTATATAGCAAAGGCCAGGGATGATGGGTAGTCATGGGAACGGGAGAGCGAGGGGAAAGGGATGTGAATGCATGTGTGATCGCGATGTATATGTTTGTATAGAGAGTGTGGGCTATGAGTGTTTGCACCACTGATACAGTACTTCATCGTTGAACACAATACACATTTCGGAGCGTATAATGTGTTTTATATTACAATTTTCAACATTAATTTAAACTGTATTTTTAGTGTCGGCTTACAGTGTATTACAGCTTTGTCTACAGTGTACGACAATTATTTACAAATATATACAACATACCAGTAACATTTTATTGTCTGAAAGAGTGTATTTAAATTTTTGTCTCATTTTTTGTGCTTAAATTCCGGAGACTTTTAAATATATAAATACTTTGTGAAAATCAAACAGTTTTTGACATTTGTTTTATATATATATACAGAATATTCTGTGAATATTCTTAAAAAACGGTATTATATTTAGTCAAAAAGGTATGCCTGTTTATATGGGTTTAAATTTGATTATATTATATGCTAGTATATATATATGAGTTATATTATTTTTTATACTTTTATATCTTTTATATAAATGTCTGACCTTTCGATTTAAGCTACCATTCCTCGCAATATTTATTAAGTTATGTGTGATTTAAAAATATAGATATAAATTTGATTTGATATACAATTTTTTGCCACAAATCCAGTGACTTGTGAAATATTAAATTAGATTTTCAATGCATTTATTTCTAAAAATATCTAACAGTCTATAAAATACAATGAATTGAACGCCAAACTTATTGTCCGTATATTTTTGTCCCTGATCAATAAATTAGCAAATCAAATAATACATACTAAATTAAATTTGATCAGTAATTATGCAATAATTTTGTATTGTATGAAATGCACTGTATTAACATATTTATTAAATATTATCCATAAATCTATTATGCATGTATTATTAATGAATACGAAAAATAAAATCATATTATATTAAAATAAATTGAGCGGAAAATTTCAATTTATTAAATCCTAGGTTTACAGTCAGATATACATAATTGTATACACAAAATTGCCTTAATGTTAACTAGCTCATTGTTTTCAATGTATATCTAGTGTAAGAAATTTAATTCATTTTAATTATACGAGAATATTCTGCGCGAGAATTAAGCTAATCTATAGCTAAGTACACAATCAGTATGTAATACATGGCTAACGATTATAGCGACTGAATGCATAATAATGTCAATTAATGTTAATCTGTTATAATGATTGTATCTAAAAAATGGATGGTATTGTATATTGAGTTAAAATTAATTAATTTTCAAATGTAATACTTTTCATAAAATATGCTTTTGAATGTTTAGTAATTATCTAGAAAATTATTTTAAAATATTAATTAATTATTTATCTAACTGTAGTAGAATATAGCATTTTTTGGTGTGGGTTTAATATAAAATTTATGGCATTTTTTTATATTTATAGTATACAAGCAATGATAGTCTATGTTATCAGAAAATTTATCATTTTCTCACAAATGTTATATTTTTATCCATTATGTATGATACAACAGGCATTGTATATATAAGTTTATATACTATAAACTCCATTCACTTTAAAACTTATATCAATATAAATCAAAATTTTCTCACAAAATACTCGCGAGTCTACCACTCAATGAGAGAGTGAAAGTAAATATTGATTTTATTCAACACTTTAGTTGATTGAGAAAAATGTTAAGAAAGAAAATTTTATGTTATATAACGATCTCTCTCTCTCTCTCTCTCTCTCTCTCTCAGTATATTTCATTTATTTAGTAAATTATTTTTCCCAGTATACTTTAGGTGCTGAATACAGTATAAGTGTATACAATATAGCGAAAGACACGGGAAAATAGTATTAAAACAAATTGTATTTCATATCACAGAATATTTTTTGCGCTACTTTTCGCTTTCAATTTTGATAACACATTACACGTTAGTATAGGAGATGAGAGAAATTTTATATCAGTTTTCAGGTTTAGAGTGGAAATTAAAAATCATTTTTCTTTTCGTTTTGAAGTTTAATCTTTAGAGAGAGAGAGAGAGAGAGAGAGAGAGAGAGAGAGAGAGTGCAATGAAATATTATATATTATATGTCATTATAAATATCTTAAAAATTTCGGAAACATTACATGAAACATAAAAATAATACAAAACTTTCTCATATATCCTAACATCAAAAATACATTTCACCAAAAAATATCAATTTATTTCTATCTAGATAACTTAAGGAAAAAACATTATGTAAAACAACACGTGTTGAGTGCATACATCCAGATCGTATTATCCAAACACATCTTATTTAATATTATATTTATATATAAAATTCAAATTTTATTTATACATTCATTTCTGTGCCCCGAGTTTACGGCACTTTGCATATAAAAACAGTATTTTGTATTGAATTACCCAAAAATATATAATAACTCATATCCACAGAATATTCTATGCATACAGAAAATATCGTGAATAATAAATTGTTAGACTACACTACACAGAATATTCTGTGTGTATGTGTTATTATTGTGGGATTTAAATGCAAACATTAACTAGATACGAAATTGAAAAGATTTTTATTATGCATGTGAATGTGTAATTTTGTTGTTGCAAGTTTTTGACATACAATTATAATTCTGAGATATTTTTATTATTAAGTCTTTTTGAATGATAAGAATTTTTCATATGAAAGAGATTTTTATTAAAATTAAATATAACATTAAAAAATAAAATTAAATGTATTTTTAAAAAAATATATAATATTCTGAATATTGTTAATCATTAAGAATTCATAATAGGATTAATTTTAAAATTGATTTATTATTCAGAATACTAATTTAAATTAATATTGAACCTTTTTAAATAATTTAATTAAATAATTTATGATATTCATGTTTTATATCCAATTTAATTAAATACTGATTACTATTTTAATTAAAAACCTTTATATAATTAATCATAAGCGACATCTAAAATAGTAAAAAAATAAATAAATTACCAGGATTACTAGTTTATATTATTAACAACTATAAATGGCACTACATGTTGAGGAATGACCTAAATCTATGGCTTAAATCACATAATAACCCGAAAATACTAACACAAAGTATATACGAAATATATTTAATAACATTTTCCATTTCTATCTCATAGACTAATACATAATAGGATTGGTAGCCATACACCTAATTAATGGCTGTCCACACGTAATCCAATAAACAAAATACTGGAATCCCTATCGAGACTATTACTACTAAACCCTTACTACTAAAGCCATTGGTTATGGGATGCCTAACGTGGAAAATATGGACAAAATCGACCCTGCTCAACTCAATGAACCGGATATATCAGTGAACAGTACATATTTCACGGACGAGTATTATCAGCAGCACCGGGGTCAGTTGGTGGCCGATGCCATACACTCGCATTTCCATCTACCTGGTCACAACGATAGCGACTGTCATAATATTACCAAATTGATCAGGGAATATCTGATGGGCTTAGCCCATGACATATCTACACAGACTATGATTAACACGAATGATACTAAAAGCGCTATTAGTATTGAAAGTAAGTACAGAATATTCTTTACTATATATTCTATGCTAAATACAAACACCGATAATAATATACAATAAAACCGTAGTTTACACTAACCAAGCATAATATTTGAATTAGTTAAAATACCTGGGTATTAATTTATTGCTAAAAAATTTGTTTAGCTATTAATAATCTCATTGTCTAATGTTGTATGTTTAAAAGTTTATACAGAATATTCCATATGTTTGCGTGCATTCAGGCTGTCACATTGTAAACAATATATTTAAATAGATAGAATATTCTGTGCACTGTATATATATTATATAACAAACATGCAAATCCATTTGTTGAGATAATGTCATCAAGAGTGTGTACATGATTAGTATACTGTACTATTAATATACTTTATGTACACTACTATACCCGTAATATAATTTGTTTTTTGTGTGTCCCAATAAAGTGCTCGTGAATTGATCGGAAACAATACCTATTAAGTTTAATACTACACAGAATATTCTGTCAAATATATATATGTATAATATATGTATACAATATATACACTAATCGGATCATACAGTGAAAAGGGAAGTCAATAGAAAGTACTAGAGAATAGCGCACTCAATAGGAAGTGCCATATTAAATAAGCAAACAATTTAAGATGACATGGTTAATGGTGATTAATGCCAAGTATATATGGTTACGAAATATTTTTACAATGTAGCGCACAGTATATAAAAGTGATATTAATTAAGTGAAACAATAACAAGTATACAATATATGAGTTTGTTATTATAAATTATATACTGTATAAGTCTGATAATCGTTAAGCGTTTAATTGAAAAGTTAATACAAAATTTAATATGTTGCCATAAGTTGTATAAATTGTGCTAGTACAGAGATACACACAGCATTTAATGTACAATAAGTTTCATAATAGCAATCAATTTGGTGATAATCTTATGATTAAAAGTAAAACTCATTTAATAGCAGATATTCTCGCAATCCTATCGACTAATGTATCTAACATTATATACTATGCTATTATAGGCAACCCTTTTCCCAATCAATTTGCTTTTAGTCCATTCAATAATACAATAGATACCGTTCCCCTGCACACTAAACACCCACACTATGTCAGTCTCATAGTGCGGCTACATTTCCACTGCCTAAGTGTATTAAGAATGTCAAGAATATTCTGTATCTACTGTTGTGTATAAATGTCAAAAGCTATAGAATATTCTACGCAAACATTTCGCATCAGCAGTGGTCAGTCAACTAAGACATCGTCTCAATCCTGTGGGTCTCAGCCATTAATTACAGAATATTCTGTATTTTAGTCGAGAATTAAGATATACATTCCATACATGTATTACATATCACTTATTGTACACTTAATACAGAGTAAAGAATTGCATAATAAATATATTTTCGTATATGACATGGGTGAACATGATTACGAAATATACTTTTTGGTACTGTAAAATTCCTGAGTTCTCAACCCCTCAGTTATGTATAGCTCTCAGTTATGAACTGTAAAATATTTTTTGACGGATTGCCTATACCTATAACGTTAAATACATTCTCTACTATGAACTTCCCAGTTATGTATATTTCCCTGTTATGTATGCAAAATGAGTGACTTATGTACCAAAACCTACTCCGAGTTATGTATGACGTGGTAGTTAATAGGAGATAAACTGTAGTTTACACATTAAAAACATAACATTTCGATACTTACTTTAACAAATACCTAAAATTTTGTTTTTTGTATGTTAAAATTGTAAAAACATTATGATTTATGCATATACTGTACCAAGAAAAGTTGCTCTAAAAATAAAGTAGTGTCGGCCAAATATCAGACAATTGCATAAGCAGGCAATCCAGATTTGATGAGATATTTCTTCAAATAAATCTGAAGTTTTATACAACGATTTAAAAAAGAAACTAACATAGAATTGTGGTAAAATTAAAAATTCTTAACTTCTGTAAAAACTTTAAAAAACTAATAAATATTAATTTTTTATAAAATATTTTTATGTTAGAGTATTTTGAATAGGATACTATTTTGATTTTAGATATTAATTTACAATTATATTTTGAAGAATCTTGATTGCCTGCTTTGGCATTTGTCTGAGATATTTTGGCAACACTATTTTCCTTTCTTAGCAAGTTTTTCTTGCTTATAATTATGATAGTAAATTAGTTTTTAGAATATTTAGTTACTGTATTATATTTTTTAATAAATTAATTTAAGGGTCAAATATCCTTATCCTGTATTATCATTTGACTTCAAATATGGAAATAGTTGATATAATTGTCTTTAATTTTTTGTTATCTATTATATAAATCAGTTATAAAAGTTGATATTGCGGGTTAATACGAAGACACAATGTAATTTCAGTCAGATATTGAATCATCATTTAAAATACATTAATTTTTAACCATTAAACCCAATGTGCCAGTTTGCCATATTTGGGCTATGTTCTAACATTTTTTTGAACACATTCCCTGTTATGAACGCTCTCAGTTATGTACAGATTTCACATGCTATAGGCCATACATAACTCAGGAATTTTACAGTATTGTTATATTTTTAATGATTGGTAAATTTAATATACTAACAAATGAGATTGGTATTATTTTATATTGTATAATATTATAGATACACTAAATTGGATTAATTTTATTGTTTTATAGCCTTATAAATTATATTTATTGTTATAAACTATTGATAGATTATATAAAAGTTTAGTTAATAACAATCAGCTATTACATAATATTAAATGGGATAAATATTAATCATTTAGACCTTAATTATAGTGATGGACAGTTAGATAGTATAAAACCAATAGCTGGGTAATTGATTTCTTGCGACAGACAGACAATGCTATTAAATAATAGTAAAATATATTAGGAAGTAATCTCACATTCAATTAATATTTGTTTTTATTATATAATACTTTTTCATACATTGTAAACACCGTTACATATAAAGGTCTAGGAAATAGATGTTTAATCCAATAAATACTATACGTTATTATCATTATTAAATAGCAATTACTGACATTTAATTGGTTGATAAATATTAGAAAATTTAATTGCAAACTATAATAACAATTATTTTAAAAGCTATGGTTAAGCTTAACTATAATTTCTATTTAATTTAGTGGAAATCTAGATTATATAATCCAAAAAAACTGGTAAACAATTTATTTGTAGCTAGCAATAATTAAAAACAGAATATTCTCTATATAACATAATATAATATAATACAAAGCATTATACTATTATTTTACCTGAATTGTATATATAATACTAAATTTCTATACCGATCTATGTATGATCTAGGTCAAAAGTCGGCCCTATTGTACATAGTGGTGGTGCTGTCGTTCTACGCGTTCGGCATCGGCTTAATGATGATTAAGTACATGAGACAGGAGGCCAAGGAGCAGGAGGAGTGCAAAAGGTACCGGCGCTACGTGAACGCCGCCCACG